CAGATACTCGGCGTCTCCGTCTCCGTCGGCGCCAGCGAGCGCAAAGTAAGCAATTGGCCGGAGCCCATTTCCCAGACTGGTGAGGGAAGTTTGCGCTCGTTCTCGTTGCCCCTCTCAGCCCGTGCTTCTAGGTCTTTTCCCACGAGCAGCTTAGGGAAACATTTACGACTCCACCCTCTCAGGACTTGGTCGAGCACTTTGTGAGAACGAGAACAGGTCCCCATCCCCCTACTCCCCACCCGGCCCTCCTCCAGCCTTCCTGAACTCTTCCTGAGAGTCCTAGTTCCTAGGCCGCTATGAAGGAATGTTAATGTGTTCCGGGAGAGTGGTCTTACTGTTGAGGAAACTGAGGCACACAGAGATTTTTGTTTTTGATTTTGTTTTTCAAGACCACAGTGCTTGTGAGTGGTGGAGGTGACAACATAAGCTGTCTGGTTTGGATGGGCACCGTCTTAATTTGCATAACAGAAGAGGAAATCTAGGTGTAGAAACATTAAAAGTAACTTGCCCAAGGCCACATAGCTATTAGGTGGTCCATACTAGGATTTGGCCCAGGAAGTGCATTGCCAGAGACTATACGCTTAACCACTACACTATACAGCCTCTGGAATTTGAGAAATAGTTGTGATGTTTACTAAGTGCCGAACACTGTTCTAGGCTCTGTGGATGTATCAGTCAACAAAACATCGCTCTCATGCCACTTATATTTTAGAGCCAGTGATAGGGCTGTGGGGGAGGCAATATATGCAAATATATGTAAATGGTTTAGTAAGGTAATAGATATATGTCATGGAGAAAAATAAAACAGGGAAGGAGGACAGAGAGTAGCTAGGTTGAGGGACGATTACATTTAAAATATTGTGATCAGGGCCTTTGAGCTAAGGCTTGCAAGATGGGAGGGGAAATTATTAACGCTCTACCCTTCTGGGAGTATAGAGTCCACCTTGACCAAATCATAATCTCTAGAGATAGGGCCCTGAATCTGGGTGTTTAAATACACCTCTCATTGACACAGGTGCCCAGAAAAGGTTGGGAGCCCCTACTGCAGGGCTTCTCACTACCCAGGGTGAGTGCTATTCACCTGTTTTCAGGAAATTGGAAGATGGGAGCATGAGGTTCTGGAAAGTGACCATGAAGCAATGGAGGGGTGTAGCTGTGAGCTTACAAGAAATAGAAAAATCTAGAGCTCAAACTTTCCTCTCTCATCTGACGCCAAGCTAGAAGGGAACAAGGGATTCACTAGAGCCTGTGTCTCACCTGTCTTAGATTTTTGGCACTGAATGTTTCTTCAGATTAAAATCTTAATCGTGGGGCTGGGGATTTAGCTCAGTGGTTCCCGTGGCTGCTTTGCAAGCACAAGGACCTGAGTTTGATCCCCAGTACCCCTCCAAAAAAATCTTAATGGAATATTCACACTCAGAAGCAGTTAGTAAAGGATCTTAGAGGCAATCTCTAAGATTGTACTTTTGGTACAAGGGAGGAAACTGAGGCAGAAGAAGCACTGGACCTGGCTACAGTTACTAGTAGAGCTAGGACACCAAGTCCACTCTTCCAACATCCAGGCCAGTGCTCTTGCTGTCCCAAGACAGGTTCACACAATCCTACTCAATCAACATGAGGACCGATGTGTGTTTACTGGGTATTTAAGAAATGTTTACAATTTAGTTTTAGGGACACTACTTTCACTTTCAAGTCTTCATGTTTAACCCGTGACCATCCACACCTTACCCCCAGCATAGTGGGGATATTGTTCACTTTTGGGTCCATTAGGCCATCTTTTGTGGGCCCCAGCAACCCAGTGCCAGGGACCTGGCCAGTGGTGACTTGGGAATCTTATCTGGAACAAGTCCAGGACAACTGAGTTGGCTGCCTTATTAGGCTGGGAATTTGTGGGACATCTCCCTCTGCCGGCCTAGGAGAATGGCTGACACCAACAATAGGTGTCAGAGCAAAATACACAGTAAGATCTGGTGACAGAAGGACACCTGGCTCTGCTACTTAGCATTCAGGTGATTTTCTTCATGTCACTTCTTTGTACCTCAGTGTCTTCAGTTTTAAATAGACCTACTATTGCTACTTGCTGTGTGTGGAGTTGTTGAGATTAAATATGATATCAAATATTTGTACTTGTGAAAGTCACTACTACTCAGGTATGTGATGTTTTGGTTTAGCCTTCAATAAATTTTATAAAGACAGAGATTATGTACATTGGATTTTCTGTAATTTATTATAAACCATTAATTACACCTGATCTCACCTGTCAAATGGAAATACAATTTATCGCGCTTCTCATGAAGGTTATTATGACCCTCTCTTTAGCTAATTACTAGGAAGCACTCTGAACATTATAAAAATCTATATAAATGGGAGAGATCACTATAATTACTATTATAAACACGAATGCTTTGTCGTCGCAGATGTATTAAAACAGCTACAAATGCAGGCAGTTCCAAAAAAACTAACATTTTTAATGGTCCCACAGGACAGTCTCAGCGGGTATTCACATCTGGAGGCATTTTCTGGAGTCAAGTAAAGCAGGCTTAGGAACAATCTGATTTAAATTGGAGGGATACTCCAATTATATTCTAGGAATAATGAAGCGGATCCTTTAAATATTAAACTAGAAGGGCAGAGTCGTCGTCAAGGACTCAGCTGAGGTGCTTGGTTTCTAGGAAGTGACGTCAGGCGGCCGCGGAGATGGAAGATGTGCTGGATCTGGGCGAGGAGCGGCGCCGGGGCTCGGCCACCTCCGTGAGGACCGATGCGGG